TGTCAGAGACGAGAGAGCAGGGAGATGAACGATGCGCAGGCATCCCGACACGTGGACATTAAGCACGAAAGCGCAAAAGGGGATCCCCAGTGCCTATGGCCTCTCAGCGTTCTTGCGAAAGCACCTACTGCCACAAATATACCTCATATCGCCTCCTGCATCAGATATAGTACCCCCTCATTTCCGGTTTCCCTGACTTACTCGACTTTCCCTCTTTTCTTAATTTACTTTTTCGAGTTTCTCTTTATGAGTCCAGAACGTTTTTCAAAGACACATCGCGTCATTTTATCGTAATAAATACTTTTTTCATTTGAATAAACCATTAGATACAGTATTCCAGAGAGGTAATGTTCCGTCGTCTTGGTCAGCAGAATTATCGAGCCGAAAGTCCAAGTGTCGACTTGAATGGATCGGTTTCTTTGTCGGTACACAGTGATCTATCTCCTCTTGATTTGGTATGATTTCTTCAGTAGAATCTTTCAATTTGATCAGGCATTGTGATTCCAGTGTTTCAGGACAGCTCGTCCACACGAATCTCGTCCGAGGCCGAGGACGAGTCGATGATGAGCAATAGCGAAAAGAACTCTGGATCTATCAGAGAACATCGGATTGTAGAAAAACCTGAGATCGCCATGATTGTCGCGAATATCTGCAGGAAGGTACTAAATAATTTTTTTCTCATTTATGTTGTGGTAAAAAATTTTGTCTTATTTTCTTGGATGAAATTCTCTCAGTTGCAAACTTAGGGCTTTTTTTGGCAACTTGAAATCATCTGCAGATCCAAACTCAACGAAGCCTTTCTTCTAATCGTAAGAACAAGCTTCTGAAGTTAGAAATGAAGCTTTTTGGCCTGCCTTCAGAGATATAAAGTTTAAAAATGAATTTTAATCTCTGGAATGCCCCGCCGAAACGTACTGTTTCCGAACATGGATTTCTCCATCCAAACATTGTTTGGCAGCAAGCAATTAATAGAGATAGAGAATAACTGGGTCGGGATAGATTTAGAGAGCACCCTTTAAATGACACAAAGGCTCTTAATCACTGCGCCAACTTCACATACTTTCAACAAAGTATTTCTGTGAAATTTACATCCCACGCTCTCCGTACACGGTGTAATAATTGCTGAAAGTCACATCATAGCATTTCAGCTTAACACCATTGTTAACCTAATCCACGAGTTCTCCACTGACGCCTTGGGTTTACGTGAAAGCGCCGATGACTTGCTGGACGAGCTTCGAGTAAGTAGTTGTTGTCCATTTACGCGTACTCATCCGCTTTCGTCGTGAAATCTCTTTCTTCTTTCCCTTTGGAATGCTCTTCTCACATTCTTCATGAATTCCAACTTTCCCTAGTATAACTTCAACAATTGTTGTTGCTTATATACAGGGGGGGCCAAAAAAAAAGACATTTTGCCTATGTCGGACTTCGGCTCTTTTTTCTTCGCAGAGATTGCTGTCGTTGACGGGAGTTCCTCAGCAGAGTATTCCCTAAGTGTTCCCTCTATAGTGAACGCAGGCCCTCCTTCACTGCCCTCACCGTCTTCAGAATATGACGTCATCTGTCACCGTCGTCAGGCTCAAGGAGGTCTACCGTAAGAGCTTCAGCCTGAAGCTCTTACGCAATTTCGTGAATCGATTTAATGTTGGATAGTTTTCTAGAGGCATTAGCTACCACTGTGCAAATCCCCTCGGAACTAGCTTTCCAGTAAGGGTCGTTATGGTACACGATCCTTCGAAGACCCCATTGAGATCGACCAGTGCACCATGTTTCCAGGGCTAATTCTTCTGATGCCGTCCACGTACGTGGCCACTATGAAGATTTTCTTATAGAATGGAATGCACTCTTTAATAATAAGTTGGAACCGTTCGGTCTGAGTTGAGTAAAATGTGCTTAAATCCATCTGGAAGTGGAGGCAAAATGTCTTTTTTTTGGCCCCCCCCCTGTATATCGTATGGCCTTCCCAGAATTAATCAGGTGAATACTTCAAA